GGCTAAATAAAATAAAATTATCTGCTTGAAATATCTCCCACTTGGATATTTTCTTTTCTCTTAAAATCTGTATTTTTTTTATCACAACAATTTTTTTTTTGTAAAAATCTCTAGAATTTGGGCTTATTAAAACTGTAAAAAAAAATTACAAAAGTAAAATGATTTGGAATTGACCTTCTGGTTTGGTTTATTAGTATGGTGATTTGTTTTTACAGGTATAAATATTTTCAAATGTATTTGATTTCTTACGTATAGAAATAAAATAAAAAATATTTGTCTTAATAATGAACTGAAAACATATTTATAGAAAATGTACTTATTGTTTTCGAAATTTTTACACATTTGAGGATCTAAATAGAAGAGTACTCAAATTAATTGAAGTGAATAGTATGTGATATGAGATCTGGTCCGTCGAATTTGGATGGAGAGTGGAGATTAAGAGCATGTTTATCCATAATATCTATGAGTATCATGTGATTAAACAAATATTAAAAATCATTATTACCCATGATATTCAGCTGATTCGTTTCTGCTGGCTGAGACTTTACATGGGTATCATGGCTACGTTACGCGAGACGATTGGTCCGAAATTATTATTATTATTTTTTGCTAAATAGTAAATATTAATGATACGTATGTGAGTATTATGGATAAAAATGGTCTAAGAGAAGGAAATAATAGAGTCGGTCTAGTGAGTGAGAAGATAAGAAGACCATAACTATAAGCCAAAGGCAGATGCAACTGGAGACTGTACAACTTGTCCATGACCATAATTATTAAGGAACCCCTCTTGACAAACTATCATTTTTAGGGTTTATGTCATGGGTTAATGTTGTTTACCAAAGTTTTTTTTTCTTTTGATAAAAAGGCATTCTATTGGAAAAGCATGGGGAAGGATTACAACATGGTAAAAACATAAGAACAACTTAGGAATTAACAAAATTACAGGTACGCTATAAATGATGAAAATGATACTAAAAAGAATATATTAGTGAATAATTGTCGAGTTTCCTTAAGAAGATAGTGGGTAGCCAAGCTCGTAGGTACGAAGAACGGCAAAAGGAATTGGGCATACGAGCCAAACACTCTCTCCAAAGTCATCAATCCATCTTTGCCGGGAATCACCGGGATAAGAGAGACTGGCATCAACAGACGCAGAACAATCACATACACAAAACCAAAAGACATCGACAAATAAACACAGCAACGTCACACACCTCAAGCAGCAGTACACAATCCAAAGTTATTTACCAAAGTTTCATTTGATTTTGGTCATAGAAAAAGCTTGTTGAAACTTGAAAGAGAAATATGTCATCAGGATTAGCAATTTTTTGTTTGTTTTATATTGGAAATCGAGATATAAACCAAGTAAAAAAGAACCTTTCTCTTCCAAAATCCAAAGTGTTAGTGTCCGGTTAAGGATGGTCGGATAATTCCCAAACCCAATTCAAACCCAAAAATAAAAAACAGTCCGGTTCGGAATCCTAATAGTATGGGTCCCACCGATTATGGCAAGAAGAGATTGAAAGGCCAAGGAGAAATCAAAAATCGCAGAAGAAGAAGAAGAAATCTGATTTTGTCCGTACCGAAGAACAAATCTTAAAAACAAAAATGGACATTAATGTTCGAATCTCCGTCTTAAAATCCCCAAATCTCTGCCTGATAATCCCCAGATTCTCTTCTTCCTCTAGATTCCGTTGCTCCAAGATCGATTCTCCCAAAAACGGAAACCGCAACGGTAAGATTCAATCAAAAATTCTCGTAATAAACCTCGAAATGTTAAGATTATTGGAATCGGATCTGTAATGAATCGATATTTGTATGGTCAGGAGGTGATGATGATAAATCGTCGAGGGATTGGGACAAAGCTTGGAAGAATTTCAAGAAACAAAGCAAGAAGACATTGTTCTCGCAATTCAACGTCGACAAGTACGTGACTTGGAATCCTCGGAGATCGGAGTTTCCTTTGTCGGAAGAAGTCGATCCTATCAAAAGAACAGAGAGATCTAATCTCATGCTTTGGACAAGTCCAAGGTTTACATTAGTTGGAGCCATAGTCATTGTCTCGTTTCTCCTTCTCTACACCATTCTTGCTCCTGTCAAGTGAAACATTTTTCATTTATAAACTTTTCTCAAGCATTTAGATCAGATTCTGAATGTGTTTGTAATGTTTTTATGTACATTACAATGTAACTAACAAAGAATAAGATCCGAGTTTCAACATGCGAAAGTAGATTTTGAATTGTAAAATCATTTACTATGGTTCCTTGCAGATACTTAAACTTGGATTGAAAAAACTTGAAATTTCAGAGACAAAAGTAGTTGTTTATTTTAGAGATAATTGGTTAGGGCTGGACATGAAGCGGAAAAAAAGGCAGTATTTGTGATCCGCTAGCCGAAAATCTAATTTTCCAATTTGCTTTGTTTGTGCGGATTTTCACAAATATCCGTTTAAAAACAAATTTGTACCATCTCTCTCTACTAGCGAGGGAAGTACTTATAAAGGGGCACACCTTGACTGGTGTTTATGTTTATAGGTAGGCTTAAACTAGTCGTAAAACATAGGGAACCGATGACTATGTGATTTCAGCGATAGTGAAATGACCAGTTATGCGTGTTTGTGTCTCCTCACTAAATGTCTTATCGGTTCTAAGTGGTTGAATCGTGGTTTGCCAATCGAATAATCCGAGAAATGTCTATGAAACGCGAGCATTTGAAATCGCTAGTCATTATCTATGATTTGAAAACATTTTTCTAGTTGCAAGTCATTCTAAAGATGAGTTAAGGGACAGAACATTAGAACATGCACAAAGCTACTCTCAATTCATCCATATTTGAAAATGTAATGAGAGGACTCAATTTTAATAGTGTTTACAATCTGTTTTGGTTAATGAATGGTAAGATTTTTTACTTCAATCGTAAGTTTAATCTTAAAATATACAGTGTCGTGAGAGATCAAAGTTTGATTATGATGAGGACATTGATTAATGAGTTCAATTT